TCACTAATAGAAAAAAAAAAGATAATAATAATAATAATAATAATAATAATAATAATAATAATAATAATAATAATAATAATAATAATAATAATAATAATAATAGTTTATTGAGCTAGCTTTTATTAGCTAGCTTTTTAAGCAAGTTATTGAGCTTCTAATGATCTTCAATAATTATCTTGTTTTATTAGGTTGAGCTAAGATGTGCTATATTGCTGCTAGAAATTTTGGCAGGCCGCCCACAATTCTGATTCTGTGGCTACTAAAGACCTAAAATTAATTGTGATTTAATAATTCAGCCAATCTACACACCTTCAAAATTTTCAACAATTTTGATCTGCAGGCTAGCTCCATAAAATCTCACAGCACACACACAAAAAAGAAAGACAAAAAAATGTGTGGTCCTCGTCGTATAGACGGCTTGATGATAAGATGATCGGTTATCGATGGACAATCCGATGGTCCCTCACCACAAGGCAACAACATCAAAGGTGATGTAACATTGTTAATTTACTCTCATTGTGTATAGAAGTCTCGAAATAAAAACTCCAAAAAACATCGATCACGAGTTAATTAACTTGATTGATGCATGTGGCTATCGTCTTGCGCATGCGCGTAATTTTTTCGACGAGATAGCTTTTGTTATACAAAAATGCTCATCCTAATCATGTATCGATAGAATCACAAAATACATCTCTAGGCTTTGTACTGACTTTTACTATTATTATCGATCGCGATCAAGTCCATTAACAAGCATGCATTTGTCGAGCCATGTGAACAAGAACTAATTCGAAACCGAGATGCCTTTTGTAATTGTCGGAAAAGCATTGAAAACCAACTTTTTCGTTATTATTATTAAATTTTTCCTTCTTTAATTCTCTGGATGTGCAGAGAAAAAAAAAAAATGGTCCCCTTGGTGATCAGAAAAGCATCCTATCTTCTTGGCTAAAATCAGAAGGGCAATAATTATATATAATCACATTTCATTGAAAACGAATAATTAATCGTTCGTCTAAAACCGATCGAAGGTTAGCTAGCTCGATCCTACGTGGCGTACTGTGCGCCATATCTTTCCTTCGACCCATTGGAGGCATCATCAGTCGAGAAACGGTGTCGACATATACATATATCTCTAAGTTTATCTCTCTTTTGAAACCATCATATATATCATGGTTCGAGGCTGAGTTCAGATTTTAACAGAGGGAATCGAGTCGAGTCGATTTCGGAATTACTCATCAACTGTTTCGTGTTCTTGAATGCAACCAAATATCGAGCAAAACCGATGTAAGTAAGCGCAATTCTTGTTATATGTCAATCTTGTTTTTGTATTTCTCTTATTTTTCATGATAAATTAAATCAGAATTATTCTCCAGCTTAATTAATTATTGCAATTCTTTGGTTATTAATTACTAATGTACACTTAATATACAATACCTATTTTAGTTTTTACAGCAGATGATTTAATTTATGGTATATATATATGTATTTCTTAGCTCAATATCTCTTGTCACATAACTTGTGTACACTTCATAATTAATTAATATACACAGCTGAGGATTTAATCTTAAGGGAGCGAGTCGAGTAGATTTCGAAATAACTCAGACGGTTTTCGTGCTCTCGAACGCAACCAAATATCGAGCCCAACCGATGTAAGCAAATATTCTTGTTGTGATTATTGTTATATATGTCAATCTAGTTTGTGTATATTTCTCTTGTTTTTTTTTTTTTTCATGATAAATCAGAATTCTCCAGCTTAATTATTGCAATTTTTCTTTGGTTAATTAATTTATGGTATAATGTAATTCATTTCTTAGCTCAAAATCTCTTGTCATCAATCATCATCACAATAACTCCCTATTTTGCATAAATATAGAAATTAACACAAAACATAATATTATTTTGAATTCAAAATTTGTGGTCACACCTCACAGATAAAAAAAAAAAGAGAATCTTGATGATGATGATCCAAAAGTCAACAACAACAGATCATCACGACTCCCGAAAAAACCCGTCGACCCAAAACGCAGCCACCAACAAAGGCGCCAGCTGGTCCCGGTTCAACGACCCGCGGGTCGTTCGGGCCTCGAGAGCTCTCGGCGGGAAAGACCGTCACAGCAAGGTGTGCACCGTGCGCGGGTTGCGCGACAGGCGGGTGAGGCTATCGGTCCCCACCGCCATCCAGCTGTACGACCTTCAAGAACGGCTCGGGCTCAACCAACCGAGCAAAGTGGTCGACTGGCTGCTCAATGCCGCGAGGCACGAGATAGACGAGCTCCCACCTCTCCAAATCCCGCCCGGGATGATGTCAATGATGATGTCAGCAAACGGTGAAGAAAACCGAGACGAGTTGACTTCGGTGGGGGGGTTGACTTTATCACGAGCGCCGAGAGGAGCCACCAGTCAACTACACGAGGAGGACAGCTGGCGTAATTTTGGGTTGCTTCCGTTGCAAGTTCCGACGACAATGTCGACCGGGCCATTCGTTATGACGAGCACGCAATCGTATTTTCCTTCAGAAGCAGTCAACTATTATCGTGCCGACTCTTCTTCGGCTGGTCAACCATCTTTGAGGTCGATTCACTTCGACATGACGGCAAATTTACTGGCTTCGCACGACTAAAATCATTAATTAATGATGATGAGCCGATTATATGAACTGGTAAGATATGATTTCAATATATATTGTTTCCACAGACTGTCATGGGCTTATATATGTTGTTTAAGTATATATATATATACTGATCACTGATGAAAGGATTTTTCAGCATTATTACAACTATTTATAGTGTGGTAAGTACTGTAAACTAGAGCTGTATATTTTTTTTTATTTTTTTTAATTTTTTTGTCACTGCAGGTTGTTTTTGTGTTCTTAGTTCAAATCACACTAAAAAAAAATTTGTTATATTCAAACAGAAAATCCTATAGTAATAATTAATATATTCTAATAGAAATTTCAACGGTTATTCCAATGGTATAGCTTCCGTTGGAATGGTTCCAACAGAAATTCCAGCGGAAATATTCCGTTGGAATATGTTTTTCATTGGAATTTTAGATGAAATTTGGTGATTCCAACGGCTATATTTCCAACGGCCTTCTACCGTAGAAATTTTCGTTAAAAAATGCAATTTCCTTTGTAATTTTTATTTCCACCCCCGTTGGAAAATCCACCGTCAAAATCTAATCGAAATTTCAATGGAAAACTCATTCCAACGGAATATTTTTGTTGAAAATTCCGTTGGAATCCATTGAAAAATTCCAACTGAAATAATAATATTGAAATATTTGTTGAAATTGCCGTTGGAATAAATCTATTATAATAAATTTTCGTTGGAATTTAATCATTTTGTTGTACAACTAGCTGGTTTGAGATCAATGTTGAGAAGTTTTTATTTCTCTTATCCTATGCCTAACTGACCTCGCCTCCTCAAAGCTGATTACATGTATAGTAAGATCTTGTTAATATAAGAGAATATTCCTCTCATAGTTAATTTTATGGAATCATATATAAAACCTAATTTGTAGCTACCATATGTTGGAAAATCGGTTATGAAAAACTTGGGTTTAATTCGGGTGTGACTGATTTTTTTATTGCTAAATACATTCGGGTTGAATTAAATTATTTAAAAAAATTCTACGTTCCGAGTAAATACTCGTGCTAAATTTATTTTCTCAAAATTGATTTTCGGTTGGTGGTAAATAAATGATTAAAGTTAGTTATTAATGGACACATATAAAATTGGTTGTGGAACTAGAAGGATGAAGAGTGTTATCCCACGTTAGACTTAAATGAAATTAATATTCTTTATTATAATAAAGAGAGTTGAAAATGTCACAAACAACAACAAAAATATGCACCAAGTGTTGATGATGGCTTCGACCACACGCGCGCGAGCTCGCCGTTCAGCTCAGCTCGGGCATGGGCATGGTAACGTTGTGCGATTACATTGTGCAAAAGTTACACCAAGTGTTGGAGGTGGCTTCGGTCGTACACGTGCACGCTCGCCCACTGGCTGGCTCGGCTCGGGCACTAACACAGTTCTTCGATGACATTGTGTGAAAGTTAAAAGTGCGAAGGCATGTGCGTAGCCCCTAGCACTTTCTAGAGTGGAAAAAAGTTAAAGTGCGAAAATATTGTGCAATAAATATGCGAAAGTTGTGTAATTGATGCGACAGTTATATGCGGTCCATCGCATTATCTTCGACTGTTTGGGGTGAAAAAGTCGACTTTTATGTGATCACTTTGCAAAATCTTCGCACTTTCTAGGATGAAAAGGTTTATTTGTTAGCGTACAATGTGAGAAACTTAATATATTTTTATTACGGTGATTTTTTTACCATATATATATATATATATATATATATATATATGCGTCTATACTGTAGAAACATATTTAGTTAACAATTCTAACTTAGAAGACAAGAACAATTCAACAAGATTGTGGAAATATTCACCTACCCACCGTGGACACATTAAAATGTGACCTGAGATCGTACAAGTCAGGATCTCGTGATCTGTGAACGCTATACCTGATTCATATAACATGTCAATTTTCTACACTATACCTGATTCATATAACATGTCAATTTTCTACCACATTAGATGGCTGTACACATATTAACTTGTATCCACTTTGAATAAAAGACTTGGAGTTGTATAATCAACTTTACACAAAAGATCATTCATATAAGCCGAACTCAAGTAAACTACCGAATTTTATTAGGTGGTCCTAAAGAAATCCTCAGAAGTTAAACAAGTTTGCAAACTAATAACATGACGACAACATGTAGTCGTTATTAATAATTGTCTTCTGGTTAAGCATTTCATGTTCCGATTTCGATATCGCCAACCTAATTTCGCTTGATGATCACTAATTGCCTTTGGCCATATGTAGTCGAAGAAAAGAAAGATATTGTGGTCCAAATTTAAAAAAGGGAAAGAAGGAAAGATTAGGTGATGATGAAGAATGATTTAAAGTAATTTTAGGGTTTGGTTTGTAGCATTTGTGTTATTGTATGTGCAAAGGACCACACACATTGCAAAGTCCTTATCATATGGGAGGGTCCCCGACTGTTGGTTTGGTCCAATATGTCACGCTAATAAGCCAAACAATTTTAGGGTTTGAGTCTTTGTTGCTCATATTTTCTTATTATTACAAATAAATGTTTATAATTATATACATTAACTAAATGAAATTATATAATTTACGGTTCTAAATAAATCTCGTTCTAAAAAGAAATTATATAATTAGCGGCTTGCTTAAAATTATTCTCTTTCAAGTCTTTTGTAATTATACATTAAAGGTTTAACATACTTTCCTAAAAACTAATCTATTTTTTACATGCTTTTATCTTGTAGACATCGAAATTTTAATATTTTATTAATTAATGTATTTATTTATTTTTAGACATAAATCCATGATAAATAAGATATTTAATTAATAAAGTAATTGTTTCTTGCCCACCAAGTCAAATCTTAGGATAAGGAAAGAGATTATATCAAATCTTAGGATAAGGAAAGAAATTATGTCAAATCATGAAGGACCAATCAAATTGAAGTCTTATTCTTCAAGACTCTCTCTCCTACACCTATAAATAGGGCTCTCTTCAATCCCACAAATCACACCTCAAACACCTCAAAATTATCAAACACATCTCAAATATTAAAGTCTCAAATTCAAGAGTTCTCAAGAACCCTCTTGAAGATTTGAAGAAGTTCTTGAAGATTTGAAGAAGTTCTTGAAGAACCGCCCGAAGTCCATTCAATGAAGAAGTTCTTGAAGATTTGAAGAAGTTCTTGAAGAACCGCCCGAAATCCATTCAATGAAGAAGAAGGCCAAGAAGAAGAAAAAGAGGTGGCGGGTCTTCCTCAAGAAGTAAAGAGACGACTTCCACACCTTTTAAGTCAATCCAAGAATATCAACGACGTTCAAGCGACATTCAAGCCTCGTTCGTTGAGAAGTTCAACCAGCATAGCGTTTGATTCGAGAAAAAGCTATCAAACCCTCGAGTCAACGTTATTCAAGTTAAAGTCCCTCTTTCCAGAAGATCAAAGAAACAAGTTCTCCAATAAGTTGTTTTCAATCAAGTCAAGGCCTAACATTTAATACACGGGAATAAGTCATTCAACCCCCAATTAATGTTAGAAAATTTCAAGACCAAGCCCGAAGGAGCTTTAATCGTCAAATCCATCTTTCAAGATCCCAAACCCAAATCCATGAAGAGAAGAATCAGAGGAGATAAATAGAGATTGTACCCGCATATCGTTTGATCGAAATACAATCAAGTTGTATGGAAAAATTTTATGTTTTTTATAAAATTTGTTGTTACATATCTAATTAATTTCTCTATATATTTTATATTTTGATTATTATTTTTCCCTTATTTTTGATATTATACTGCAATATTGGACGAATGATCTAAAAATAAATAGGGTGTTGATATATACCGCACGCAATTTTGATAGTTACCGCACCCAAGAAAGTCCAATTTGCCCTTACTAATAATAAAAAAAAAAAAAATCTGTACTCCCCCCACTCTTCCCTCTCACTCTCGCACCATACACACACCCACATTAAAAAAAAAAAATTTAACAAAAAAGAGATTGAACAAAAAAAAAAATATTGAACAAAAAAATCGAGAAAAGTCCGAAAAAATGGTAAGTTTTTTGTTTTTTTTTAACGATTTTTTTTAATTTTAAACGAATTTTTTTTTTTTTGAATTTTTTTTTTTTTTTTTACGGTGCCGCGCCGCAATCGCGGCCGTTTTAGAAGGAGGCGCGCCGCGATTGCGGCTGTTCTACGGGCAGGCGCAATCGCGGCGCGGCTAAGCTGTCGAATGGCCGCAATCACGACGCGACTCTATTTTTTTTTTACAGAATATCGAAAATAATAATATATCTTATAATTTAAAAAATAAATATAATAATATATATTTTATATAAATTTAAAAAAATAAATATAATAATATATATTTTTATTTAAATTTTAAAAAAAATAGTTAAAATATTTTAATTAATATTTTTGCCTTTTTCGCAAATAATTTTTATTAAATTAAAAAATATTTAATATAATAATATATATTTTATATAAATTTAAAAAAATAAATATAATAATATATATTTATTTAAATTTAAAAAAATAGTTAAAATATTTTAATTAATATTTTTGCCTTTTTTGCAATTAATTTTTATTAAATTAAAAAATATTTTAAAGATACTTTTTTTGTGTTTTTTTTTCGGTTTTTAATATATAAATTTATATATATTATAAATTCTTTTTTTCGTTTTTTTCGGAATTATAAAAAAATATATATATAATATATATTTAATATATAACGTTATATATATATAATATATATTTACATAATATAATAAATATATAATATATATTTAATATATAATATATATTTAAAATATATATTTAATATATAATGTAATATATATATAATATATATTTACATAATATAATAAATATATGATATATATTTGGGTGTTGATACAATTCATTATTTTTGTAAAATTATTAACATATATAGTAACATATTGCAGGTGCCGTAGAAGATATGATTGTTACATATGCGAAGTTTCCTCATGTGCTGGATTATGTGGATAAGACGTGGCTA